GTGTGAAATTTACATGAAATTCAAGTTACTGAAACTTACGTAAAATTACATGAAATGTAAAATTGTAATTTCCGTAACACAACCCTAGTTGGATATCAATCGGGTCAACCGCGGTTGGGTCGGTTTACCCGGGTGAAATTATAACCAACCGGGTGGACGTCAGAATGTAATGATTGTGGATTTAAAATCAACTTAGGTTGATTTCGGGTAGTAATAAAATTTTATTTCAACTTACACTAAAATTAAGTTGATTCTAAATTTTTTTATCGAGTATATTTAAGTCACTCTAATATATATAAAGTTAAATTAAAGCATTTATGGATACTTACTACTACCACAAAGCAATTTCAAAATTTTTTTTTCCTTAAACGCTTATAAGCGTTGAAAGAATACTATCCAATTTAGAAAACTTGTTAGAACCCAACGAACATAAGTAGGTTTTGGTCAAACTAAATAGGTTATATCATATGGTTTGATAGTGTTTCAGGACCATTTATAGCCAATATATTTTTCGCCAAATAACGTCTTTTGCATTTCGTTATTGTTTTTTTTGATCTTGCAAAAAAAAAAACTTGTATATAAAATTAAAATCATAAGCAATTCATCAAATGTATTACGGGTTTGATCATCGATAGTTGACTTTAACCAACCGATTCTCAACCGGTTGACCCGGTAAAATTTTGGGTGATGTTGGGAGAAATTTAACAATTCCAGCCCCTAAATTTTTGTTGATCTGATGAATTTTGGTTGCACCACTAATCTATCCTTATCGCGCTTATACGGTAATATATTTAAATTTGTGAAAGTTTGTAAATTAAAAAATTATAGATTCAATACTAAAATAACCAAGTCATAATTACTATAATTAGCTAATAAAATATATATTATTATTTACTTCGCGTGTAAAATATCAAAAACCACATACTGTATATAGTGTATGTACCTCGAATGCAAATTTGCCTTAGATAATACAAAGGTTTGGCCGGCATAGTGCTTCTAATGGGTTTGATCTGAACGATCTGATTATAGTAAATCTAGTATATGGGTCATATAATAAATTTACTACGTATAGCCAGATCAATTTCGAGTAGGGTGTATGGCACCCAAAACTATAATAGTCTATAGGCATGCCACTTTATCTAAACTGATATTTGAATATTCCGAAATATTCCGAGAGCAAAGGTCTGAAATATTCCGAAAGATAGTTTGGAATCCTTTGAATATCCATCACAGCTATTTAATGAATATTCACGAACTTTAGTCATTCGCGAATAATAATGAATGAATATACACATTTTACATGAATATTCATAGAGAATTCACGGAATTCGCAGATATTCATAGAAAATTTGCTGATATTCAGAGAGTTCAAATAATCTCACGTAATTACGTTTCAACTATCCGCACAGAATATTACACGGATATTCGCACAGAAATATGATTCACAGAGATTTTACACGGATATTTACGGTGAATATTCATCATGACTATTCACGGATTTTATGTAACAGAATATTCACTGCTAATTGAATATTCATTTTATCCGTGAATATTCGCGGATCCGTTAGGAGCATTAGGCCAGCATTAATTGATTGGCCTAAATTAACCCTAATTTAGGCCAGTTGATATTTGAGCATCTGAGGCACGACATAAATATGTATAACGATAATTTATATCTTAAACCCCTGTAAAGAGGTTGTTAATACGTAACAACATTTTTTTAACCCTTGTAAGATAAAATGTTCCGGAAAACTAAGATCTTTATTTAATTAGGTTTGACCAATAATTACAAATATGGTAAACATACGTAGTAACTAAATCGTAATCAAGGATTGTTGTTAATCGACAGAGGCAGATATCTATTTTGTTATTTAAAGTACTGTACAACACCAAGAAAACTATATATCGATTACAAAACATTTGTGTACGCACGTACGTACGTACGTACGTACGTAGTATCAGACTAGCATTGAGGCTTAGGCATGCGTCAAAGAATTTCTCCGCCAATAAAATTAAACCAATTTTTCATTAGTTTTGGGTAGCGTAATAAATATAAAAGTTCCATAAAAGGGTTCATCAGTTGCCGATTACTATTACATACCTCTGAATTTGTATGTCATATGATTCATAGATTCTAAAAAAGTAAAACGTAAGTTTTCAGTTCTCACAAGTTTAAAAAGGTGCACCGCTGCACTTCGAAGAATACATGTACAACCATACAATACATTATTACCCTCTTGAAAGTTTTCGCAACCTATCGAAAAGCCAATTAAAATTTTAAAGTTACGTTTCTTCATCTGCTTTTGCATAAAACTTCATAGTCAAAAACATCGACACTATGTTTGCAGCAAATGATTCTGAAACAGAAATTTATTATGCCTCGGAGTCACCACCCGATCTCTACAGTGATTTGGAAGAAAATAATGCGCACGACGAAGATTTAGAGGCCGCAAACGACCCTATTGAGGATCTGTCAAACCGTCGTAATAATAGCGATTTCAACACAACAAATATGGATTTAGACGGGGAATATACTTCTGAAGACGAAGAACAACGTCCGCATATTTCACCAGCAGCTGGACATGCCTTTCAACGCCTTATCGACCCGTACACTACTCGTCACCACCGTAGATCATCGTCACAACGTATTCGTGGATTCTCACCACTAAATTCGCGGTTATTGCGAAGGACAAACGCCATTACACCTTCTTTTCTTACGCAACACGTAAAACATAATAAAGAGCACGGTTTAGAAAATATTAATGGTGCAGGTTCAAAGGAATTGGGACAATTTCGGTTACCAGAGTCTAGTTTCTTACGTGCTGGGATGACCTTTTCAGGAACTCAAAATTTAATGAATACACAACAACCTTCACAAAGGGATGAGGAATGGGAAGTCAAAGTGGTATTGTATTGATAGCCATTAAAAAAAATTATTATATTTCGAAAGATTAAATTCAGCCTATCGTTTAATAATTTGGTTAATTTTCATCTTTTAAACGAATGATTATAGACTGTTCATTATGTAAATTACAAAACTGGTACTGCAATTGGATTAATGGAGGCTTTAAATGTACCAAACAGCTCGAACACTGTTGTCACATATTGGGAAGGTGAGATGATTGATTTTGTCAACCATTCACTTTGGACAGATAAATGGAATTCAACTCCCGATATTGATCTTCAACATTGGAAAAAGTTTGATGCTTTTCGTCAAATGGATGTTCGAAGGTATTACTTTTGATTAGATTCGTAATATTATAAATTCATCCATGACTTTTCTATATTAATAGATACTTCATTTTTGTAGTATAATCAGGGGGACACCCACCAAAGAGTGGTTCCAAGAAGCATGTCAAAAATATATATTTATGAGATGGAAAGGTGCATATTGGATTCTTTTTATTGTAGTTAAATTAATTTTGTTGAAACATACTAATTGAGATTGTTTTTTTGTTGGCTATCAGAGCATTATTTTGTCAATGTGACTGCTCAAGAAAGTGGGTTAACTATTGCGGGGTTTTATTATATCTGTATCAGGAGAAGCGACGGAACAATCGAAGGTATTATAAATATACTCTTTTTAAACCTTGTATGGGTATTATTCTGATATATATTTTTACCATTTTTTAGGTTATTATTTCGATCCAGTATCTACACCATATCAAAAGTTAACTCTTAAACCTTTATTGAAAGGCAATGGTGTTTCTTTCTGTGATTATAGTTTTAATTAAAATGATTTTTTTTTTTAAAAAAAAAAAAAAATCTGCGTTTTATACGTTCACGCTCATTCCAATTTCACCTTTGGAGTGTAGCTGAATTTGTTATGTAGTATATCTATTTCTCTAGCGAAGGTTTCTTTTTATCTTGTCTATCGTGTTGGTTTTCTATAAATATATATATAGTGTTTAGTAATGATGGAGTTACTTTCATTCATTAAAAATCCATATTTTTTAATAAAAAAGAGAAAATTGTGATTTCTTAAGTTATTATGGTAAATTATAGCACATCATGAAACATGACAAATAATTCCTGATGATAATTTTTAAATACTTAAAAACTACGATTTCAAATCTGAAGATTAGTTATTTGAACATTATATATATATGTGTGTGCATATACTGTATATTTTTGACATTAGATATACCCTACCAATTCATAAATTGCCAAAATGTAATTGGTGGAAAACGCAAAACCCCCTGAATTATCAGGTTTAAACCGTTCAAACATCAAGTGAAACCATTGGCAAATTGTCCTACCCTGAGGGATCAAGGCACGCACGTACGTACGTACTTACGTACTATATAAACAGAGGTAGAAATAACATAATAACTGATATACCGGTGTGCAGTTTACCGCAAAGCTGCTAAACACTTTCTAGTATATTTCCAAAAACTTCCCTTTTATTTTTCAAACGATCTTGTCAAAAAACATACGATCGGTGTTCAAGATCGCCATTTTATGACCGGAGTCAATCACGGTTAACTGCTTTTAAGAAAATTCTGCTGTTTTCTGTGATCACAGTAAATCATTGTCCTTGCTCACGGCGATTGTCCACTGCTGTTGATTGTGAAGTCGTCAGTCCTGGGGAAGATAACATGCGAAATTCGAGGAACGAAACTTTAAAAAATGACGACCCAGTTGGGTAAGCAAGTCACTTCCCAATTACATTGTGAGTGGTCAGCAGAAACATTGCCACTGCCGTATTTGTTATACCGTAGAAACACAATATTCCTTTCTTTCAAGATGGAAGGGCTCATGTTTATTTTAAATGTTAACTATATATTCTATATGTAATACATTGTTATTTTATTTATTTTTCACAGTAACTTTCGTTTATCTATTGATGAGTCAATACTTCTGGCTCTTCTGGAGTGTTCATATGCTGACTCTAAGCATGAAGTCCTTGGTTATCTTGGTGGAACATGTGACGTAGATCGATTGGACAACACTATTGTTTGTCATGTTAGTCAATTCGTTGCATCTGAAAGGTATTACGACTCAGTGTCACCACATTAAGGCGCAGCAATATATCCGGATAATAATATCTATTTATGATCTATATAATTCAGAATTGTCACTTCGTTGCTGACCGATACTGTACAAGAAGTTGATCAAGCTCGTGAGGATGCGATAAATACATTCAAAAAAATGGGACTTAAGTTTATAGGCTGGTATCGAAGGTTTGTTTCATTTATAACCTACTATTGATAAAAATTAAATTTGGTAAATTAATTTTATGCAACTTTTTCTGTGAAATAGCAATCTTGATTCAAATTCCAATACTATTCCCACGCAATATGATATAATAAAACAACAGTCAATACAATCACAGGTACTTTAATATTTGAATAGATTTTATTAATTCAAGATGTTTTTATCACTGATATTTTTTTACCTATTAGTACCCCGATAGTGCGGGTATAATTGTATCGATGTCTACAATATCTTGTCCTCCAATTAATATAAGAGGATTAATTTCAGAAAGATCCATAAATGCATTATGTGTCTTTCGGACTGTAGAAACTAGTGCTAATAATAATGATAACTTTTCTTTATCTCAAAATGTCAAGTCAAAAAATGGTAGAATTTTGAAGGGTAAAGAAAAAGAGGATTCAAAAGCCAACAAAGTTATATTTACCGTCAACCGACAAATGTACATGTGTTCAAATGTCATGCAACAATTGAATCACGCTTTGATGGTATAGTAATGTAATCTTTTTATTGAGCCATATCGGTCATGTGCTAGAAGTTGCGATCATAAACATATCATTTACCTGTCAATTGCAACAGACAGTTCTCCGCGAGATTAAACAAACCTATTCTGGTCAGGTTTTAGATTGTGATAATAGGATCGGGCAGCGAATATTTGTCGATTCTCAATATGAATCATTTCTTATGAACTTTCTCAAAAAAAGTGTGCTTCAGGTAAGAACACATATTGACACTTTCAAAGTGATTATTCATAATGCTAACAAGAGCCATACCTATCATAGTTTGACAGATCTATAGACCAGGATTTTAGATCTCTAGCTGTCGCCAAACATCACGTCAAGACACTTATAATGAAACGTATTAATGGTGCTTTGGCAACCTGTCAGGGTCATGGTATTAATAACGGAAACGATGTGCACTTGAGGCGGAGAAAACTTGAAAAATTAATAGAAAAGGTATTTGTTATAGAATTATACTTTCATACTGGATCTTATTCTTCTAAAATATGGCATGAAATTACATATAATTTTTTTTTATCAGTTGGTTACTCAACGCATGGCAAAAAAGGAAAAAAATAAAAAATCAGAAAATGTTGATGATGTAGTTCGATGGAAATCTTCAGATGATGATCGACAGAATGTTAGTGAAGATTTCACAGTTAATGATGTAAATATGAAAATTCCTGCAATGCCAACGTTTCCATTGTTAGAGTGTTCAATTCAAAAGCCTATTATTTATAAAAAGGAATCCGAATCAACCGATATTATGTCAGCGCCATCTAAACCAATTCTACCTGTGGACACACGCTTAGATGACATAGATGAAAAAATGACTACAGCAGATGAAACTAAAGACAGGCTAACGGACGTTGATTGTGATACGAAAATACCTCGAGATACTTTGGCAGAAACTTGCGATGATTCATCGATAGTTATTTCAGTAAAACAACCTTTAAAGAAAACTAGCACGGATTCTTCTCGTAGCGCGCCGAATCCAAAAAGGGTCAAGCCTAATTCAACACCTCCCCCTATATCTTTTGGAGGAAGTCTTGCACAAGCTGCATCTTTTCCTGAATCAAAGCCGTTTACTAGTTCCGGTTCTACTTCATTGATGAGTGGATCTTCAACTTTTAATTCTAATCAAAAAAGTACTTCTACTACGCAATTCTCTTCATCTTCCACACAAAAAACTGCCATGTCATCGCCAACATTTACACCAATTTCATCATCCTCATCAACTCATAATATGTCAATGTCTACAAATAATCCATTAAGTATGGCGCAAACTCCAAGCAACAGACTTCCATATCCACAAATTAATACATGCCAATATCCTACAAATTGCTATCGACAGTTTCACAATTCTTCTGAAGATTTATCTCCAAGTATTCGTCCACCTGTTCCCTGTATCGGGAATAAACCTATAAATGGTCCTCAGGGGACTTGTGAAAATTTACCTGGCATTCAAGGATTACTTGCAATTACGCCACCTCCCCCACCTCCATCTCAGTCTCCTTTATCAAATGGAGTGGGGGTTGTAAATCAAAACACTCCGGGAGTTGTACATACTCCATTTTCAACTCCATATCGAAATAATTTTTATTCGTTCGGTTCTTCGCAACTATCGCAGCAAACAAATACAGGAACTCATTCGATTGTGACACCAATGTCGCAACATTTACACCAAATGAATTCTCCCGCGCCACAGTCTTCAACACAAAGGCATTATATCCCAATTGCGCCTTCACCAACTACAACGGCAGGAAATCGACCACCCTTACCATCATCCTCGCCTGCAGCTAACCTATATACTGCCTCAAGTCACCAATCATATCCTGCAAACTATCATGAGTGGCAGTTATATAATGATTAATTGTATAATTGGAGATTTGAATTTTTAGATCATGATGATCATTTTGCATGTCGAACGACACCTAATCAAAAATCTGTCTGTGGTAATTTTCAAATATTCCTCATTCATTTATTGTATACTACCTTTTTAATACGAAATACCCTTTCAGGACTTCATTACCATTTATGTTATATTCCATTTTATGTATTCTTCGTATTTAAATTGTGTAGGTTTTTATTAGGAATCACTTATGTTCAATTCTTGTGACCCTTTTAAAATGTAATGCTTGAGTGAAACATAAATCATTGTTGGGATGTGCGTACTTAGAACAAATGGTGAATTTTGCTATAAGTTTGTAAGTTTTTTTTTTTTTTTGATTTCAAAATTCCAAAAGTTTAAGTAAATAATTTGTGCAGAAAGAGGTATTATGCATAATAAATAGAAATTCTTAATAAAAATAGCCTTTAGGTTATTTGTATTATTTTAAAAAATGATATATAATGTAATTTTATATTAATAAATATTATGATTAGATACGTATTAAAATTTAAATTTTAAACTTTTATATATACTGTATATATATTTCATAAGTTAGAGTTGTTAATATAATTTTTTTTCGGTGGTTTTGTTTTTATTATATTTATTAGACAGTATCAAAAACTTAAGCTTATATATTTTGCAGAATTTTTTAATTTTACAAAATATTTTTAATATTTTAATATTATATATGGTGCAGGTCATCTAGTCGCATCATAGTGCTGAATTTTAAATTTATATATAAGAGTACTGTAAGAGTGCTGAATTGTAAAATTTATTTATATAATAGTGCTAAATTTTAAAATTTATTTATATAATAGTGCTGAATTTTAAAAATTATATAATAGATTGTGGCAGATCATAATGAAATTCAGATCAAAATGAAATTATAATATAAAGTCTCGAAAAATAAAATTTTTTAGGATGCATTTTTTAGGGATAGGGGTTAGGGTTAGGGGTTAGTTTTAGAGTAAAGTTATAATAAACAAGTATGAGTGGGTTTTAGAAGGTTAACAGGTTGAGTAGAAAATGTAGATTTCATTTTAAATTATGATCCGCGACATAGATTAAATAGTGCTAAAATTTTAAAAAGATAAAAAAAAAAGTTTTAAATTTAGGCCATGCAAATTAAATTAGTTGATTCTCGTCACATGGAACAAACAAATAGGACCCGGCCGGCCGGCAAAAAATGTTAGATTTAAAAAAATTTTTAATATAAAAAATTTTTATAAATTTTTTTTTTATACAAAAATAAAAAAAAATTTATATAGAAAAAATTTTAACTTCTCTAAAAAAGTGACCCGGCCGGGTGACGAGAATCAATTTTATTAGTTTGCGTGGCCTTATTAATAAATTTATATAGTAGCACTAAAAATTTTAATATTTATTAATAAATAAAATGCTGAATTTTCTAATTTATTAAGGAATTTTTAAATTAAAAAAACTTTTTTATAAAAAGTTTTTTTAAAATAACTTTTTTATAAAAAGTTTTTTTAAAAAAACTTTTTATATCTATATTCTTTAGATACACATTACTCTGGATATATTGACAATTTTTTTTCATTAGTAAAAAAATTCAAAATGTCGATATAGTGAGTTATACCAACATTTTTATATTAAATTTTGAAAAAAAATGTTGATATAGAAAGATTTTACTATGATGTCGTTATATCCAGATGTCGGTATAACCAGAGTGATGTGTATTAAAAAAATATTATATATTATAGAAAGTTTTTTTTTTTAATATTAATGGTGATAGAAAGGTTTTTTTTTTTTTGACAATTTTGTTTACTTTATTATAGAAAGTCTTTCATTCTTACATGGCATAAGAAGTTTAAATCTATAAGTATTCCAACCAAAATGTAAACTCACTTACAGCATACCTTGCAGATGCTATAACATCCACTTACAGTCAGGGTGAACTATTAAACCACTGTGTTTTGCCCAGATGCAACCTGCTTAGCAAATGATTGGCCTTTTTCAGAGATCAGAACTCACTCTGGATTTATTTCTTCTGGATTTCTCAGCTAGCTGTTGTGCTGCCCCATCAAGATTCTTGCTCTACAATAGAATGCCGCCAAACTGATAACACTTTCTTGTAAAGAAGGAAAAAAGAAAAAAAAGTGATAATAAGGAATGAAAAAAAAGTATATAATAAAAACTAATACATCAAAAAAACAGATACTAATACTAAGAAATATAAAAAACTAAATTAAAACCTAAAAGAAACTATCATTAAAAAGAAGAAAACCTGCTAACTAGGTAAAAACTTCTAATTATACAGAGTCATGATCTACTATTAAGTATGAGAGTCTTGACAAGAAATTTAAAACTAAAATAAAATACACTATAACTTATGCTAGAAGCTAAAAATTATATACAGATAACTAAAGGATACCTGTATATCTCTTTTCACTTTGTTTTATTCTTTAATTAATCTATATTTTCATCTGAAAGTATAAGAATTTTGAAATCTTTATATGCCTATCTAATAATCACATATTTGTATATTCTTAATAATATGACATATAAAGTATACTTTCGAACACTCATCTAGTTACTAAATTCATCAGCATTGTCTATTTTACACGTATTGTTTGTTATCATACAGAATTTTCTGATATAGAAGTAGTAAACATTGCCGATCTTTTGAAAAGGATATATCAAATTATCCACTTTTTGTCAAAAATTATAGCCAAAAGTATTGAAGAAAAAAAAATGCTATATTTGCGAAAGCTCAAGACAATGAAAGTATTTTCAGTTGTTCTTCATGGAACTAAAAAGCTTTAATACTTAAGTTAGGAGTTTTTCACCACTACTGTTATCAAAATAACTCTTTTGGCTTAAATGCTAAATATACAAGAGAGTCTATCAAGAAGAAAAGCTTGATTCAGAGCATAAACTAACTATATATGCTCTGCTTTTCAGTGTTTCATATATAAGTCTTCATTGACAACAGTACCAATAAGAAATCTTAGGTATCTGATAGAAAGTTTTTTTAAAAAAATTTTATTTATTAAAAAGTTATTAAACTTTTAGTTAAAACTATTATTTTATAATGTAATTAAATAATCTGCATTATATAATATATAGTATATTAATTATATTATAAAAGTTTTACAAATTTTTTTAATTTTTTAATATTTGGTTATACAAATTTAATTAATTGTTTCTCATAATCTAGTTGGATTAAATTTTGAAAACTTTTGAAAAAATTTTTTATATATTTTAATAGTAAGATAGGGTTTCAAAAATTTTTTTTTTAAAATTTTATATATAAAATTAAAAAAAAAAACTGGTTAAATAATTTTTAAAATTTTGTGTTATGAAAAGAAAAATTTTGATTTTGTATAGTCTAAGTTTGTTATAATTATATTTTTAATATATTGTAGAATTATTAGATTTTATTAAAAAATTCTTTAAATTAATACTTTTATTTACTATTATAATATTATCAAATTTTATTAGTTAAATTATTAGTTAAATTTATTTATATTATTTATATTTTATTAATTAATTTTTATTAATCAAATTTTATTAGTTATTTTAAAGAAAATGTTTTTTGTATACTTTGCATTGTGATGCATTCATTTAATTAGCCAATTAGATTTTAGAGTTTGTTGTTTTTTTTAATTTAGTATAACATAATATAACAATTTTATATTTTAATTAGCTAATTAGGATGATATATTGCTATACAGATGTATAAAAAAACTAGACCTTTATTTTATTATATATTTATTATATTTTTTCTTAAACTTTATTATATTGTCATAAAATAGTTTTATTTTATTAATTTATTATTTTCTTATTATTATTTTCTTATTTCAATATTATATTTTATTATTTATTAGTTATTATTATATTTATCTTAAATTAGAATTTAAAAGATATAGGGTGTGGCGACTTAGTGAAGTGGTGAAGTTGTCGTACCTCCAAGCAGCAAGATCAGAGTTCGAATCCTACTAGCAACGAAATTCGAATTTACGGAAAATGCATTTGGACAACTGTATTCTATTGGGTTATAGAACCTGTAACAGATCACACTAGCTTTTACTGAGAGGCAGTAGAATGATAAGTGTAATGTACGAGTTGCACAGCAGTGAAGCTGTTGAATAAATCCAGCAGATTGACAGAATATAGGAGCCTGCTTGGGAAGATTCGAACAGAGAGGTAGCATGGTATTACCTAATAATCTGAAAAGGGGGGAATCAGATAGCAGGAAAAGGGGGAACTGAACAGCAAAAAAAGGGGGAACCAGACAGGACCGAAGTGTTTAACAAGGCACTCTATCAACCAGGCCGCTGGCTGAGTAATCAGAAGAAAAGGACCCAATCGTGGGTACCAGAAGCAAGTTACAGCCCTTCTGGGCTATCTGAATTAGAAGTTTGGTAAACTGGAAGTAGGGTTTAGTTTGGAAAACTAGAAGTAGGGTTTAGTCTGGGAAACTAAAAGTATGGGTTGTTAAGTGTGTATTAGGGTTTAAGTGAACTTTGCAAGGGCACAGAGTAGATAATGATAGTGGCTTCAGCTCGCAAGTACTTGGCCTCGGCCTAGATGTAAGTTACCGAAAATTTAGGTGATACATGTGTAGGACATAGACCGCTCTAGTAGGTTTATCACAAAGTCGAAGGACCCTTCTATATAGAAGTGTGTGTCCACTTTAAAGACTTAGCAGGCCTTAGCGACAGGTTCCTCTTTAGAGAAGATATCCAATGACGTGAAGTTGATCAGAGAGTTTAAATGAGTAATCTCATAATTGGGTTATAGGTACAGCATCTAGTGTAGATCTAGGATAGGCAGACTATTTAAATAGGTGCTCAAAAGGTGCAGATATAGCTAGAATGTACTTTCATTAATGTAACAAGATCAGGCACTGTTTATATGACTATACTGGTATCTAACCAAAAGTTTAATAAACCATGCCAGACCTGTGAGTAGTCACCTTAACATTAAAAAAAAAAAAAAAAAAAGAATTTAAAAGACATGTATAATGATTAGCTTAATACTTAACACCTAATGCTTAATAATTAATAATTATATTTAGCAATTAACAATAAGCAATTATATTTAGTAATTATGCTTAATAATTAATGATTAGCAATTATACTTAATGATTACAATTATTGATTAATATTTAATATTTAATATTTAACAATTAGTGATTATAATTAATGTTTAGTATTAAATAAACTATACTTAGCTATAATGATTAGTAATTAGTTTTAAAGATATAAAAAGGCTATAAATTTTTTTAAATAAACATTAGATCTGTTTATTATTCAAATAGATACAAATTCTCTTCTTTACTTAAATTTTTTCA